GGGGGATTGTTGTTGGTTTTTTAAGTTGTTTTGTTAGAACTTTTAAGAATGAGTTTTGTTTGGGAATGTATGCTTGCCTTTGCTACATTCATTATGTTTACTTGTAAGTGCATGTAATGTTCTTTGTGTGTGTGCTTGTTGACTCATGCTGTGTTCCTTACCTGTGCTTGTTGGTGCATGCTGTGTTCCTTACCTGTGCTTGTTGGTGCATGCTGCATTCATTTTGCATGCTTGAAAGTACGTTAAGCTTTCTATATAATATATCAAAGGTTGTTTATAAAATAAATAAGTGAGTGTCATTCCCCATAACACCTCCCCCCCCCCTTGCTCCCATTTCCCCACCAAAACACCCTGCACTATTCACAGACTGAAAAACAAGAATATTTTGCTTTGTTTTGCAAACAGTTGAATGAGCAATCTTCTAAAATAATCTCTATTTTGTATCAAAGTATGTCTATTACAAGATGTACATTTTTTCTATATGGGAGAGAGGGGGAGGGGACCTGCTTAATGGTTATGTGTTGGGACAGGATAAAGTGTATAAGAGTGGGTACTTGGGAGGGGGGGGTGAGATAGAAAGCAGTGGGAGTGAGTTATGGAGAGAGGGGGAGGGGGGGTGAGAGGAGAGGGGGGAGGGGAGTGAGAAGAGAGGAGGCGGGATGAATGAAAGGAGAGGAGGGGGGAGAGTGAGAGGAATACTAAGTTGGTGTGTACTGGGACAGAAGAAGAGAGTGTAGACAGTTGTGAATGCATGCTGTGTTCATAATGCGTGTATGTAGATGCTTGTTGCTTTCATGATGCGTGCCCATCGGTGAGTGTTGTTATCCCTATGACAGGGAAGCTGTTGCTTGTGTGCTTGGCCAGTTCATGTCTTCTTTCTTTAAGTCCATATGCATATTGTCAACTACCCCCCCCCCCACCCCATGTAAGAACAAATTAATGATTTAATCTAAGCAACAACAAAAATGTCTAATAATTCTTAAATGTTGAAGGGTGCCACTGGTAGGTCTTACTTCTTTTCTTTCCCTCTGTTGTTTCTGTCTGTCTGTCTTGCTTCTTTGCTGCACTAAATGACCATTATTGTGTCCATGTGTGCTAAGACTCAAATGTGAAACAGACAACTACACAGCCCCCCTCCCCCCGCCACGTATCTCATCATACCTTTAAACAAAAATAGGAACCAGTACATGCTATATAAATTGAAACTACTATTGGTCATTTTGCTTTCTCTATCTGGCGAAACACCATGCAGACAAAAACATACTGATACGGTATACACACATATACTTATCATATAATTAATATATGAAATACTGAAAAACATATTAATCAAATACATGTATCCATCATTAAACAAATATATTTATTCGTCATATACAAGTATACATATTCATCAAATACACAAATACGACATATTCATCTTGTACACACAAATAATATAGTTATCATATATGCGTTAACATATACATATTTATCCTATACACGTATACATCTTCATTAAATGCATGTAAACATCTTCATCATGTATACACGAATATTCTTACTAAAAGTAAACTTAGTGACGTGCTTTAAGCACTTTCTTAGAGGAAAATTCTACTGTGTAAATGTAATTAATTATTACAGATAATACCATTAATTTACTGATATTAGCATTACTATTAGTATCATTCTCATCCTCATCATCGCCGTTCCGTGGGTGCTCTGGTGTGGTTTGCTCCTTCTTTCCTATCAAACATCTATCGTCCTGATCTCCCCTCCTTCTTTTTTTATGTTTGTTGCTCCCTTGTAACACCTCTAATCTTCGGCACTTCTATGACCTTACAGTGTTGCAACCGCCGTAAAATTCTTACTAAAAGTAATATCAGTAACATCCTTTAAGCAATTTCTTAGAGGAAATTCTACTGTGTAAATGTATTTAGTTATTACTGATACTGATAATACCATTACTATTAATGACATTATCATTACTATTATTATCTTTCAAATCGTCATCATTCCCTTTCCGTGGGCAGTTGGTGGGTGCTCTGTTGTGGTTTTCTCCTTCGTTCCTTCCCTTTTTGTGTTTGTTGCTCTCTTGTAACACCTCTAATCTTCGGCACTTATATGACCTTATTGTGTTGCAAGTGCCGTAAAACTCTTACTAAAACTAAAGTGTAAATGTAGTTAATTATTACTGATAATACCATTACTTTTACTGATATTATCATTACTATTACCATCATCATCAATACCATTCCCAGTCCAACCTGAAGCGAGAGCGGTCGCGCGTGGAGCGGGAGGAGACAGAGCAGGAGAAGGAGCGGCGGTGTGCCTGGTTGGCCGTGCGGTGTGCCACGGCGGTCGCCACAGCTCAGAGGGCCCGTGGGCTACTGGTGGGTGACACGGCCGTGACGTCACAGAGAGTGGGCGAGAAGTCCACGGGAGAGGTGCCCG